TCATAAAAGCAGCTCTTATGAACACTTTAGTAGAAACCGCATCGTTGGAAAGAGTATCTCCTAGTTGTTAATCCATTTTTGTCAAGGTTTAAATGTGAAACATTAGAGATGAAACTCTTTTAGGTGGTATTTGTTGATTTATTTTTTATCTTCTTTAATGAATCTTTCTCACTGATCATGATCTTTGTTTGGATTTACAGATTTTATTTTTATGAATTCTATATATAAAAGTACATAAAACAATATTGAGAAATCTAAATTCTTCTTTTAGTATACAGTTCAATGCTGGGCTTACACCAAACTCAGAATTAAGTATTTGCATGAGTAAATTACACTCAGAAATAAAGATAGAAAATCTTTCACTGGGGCAGTACCTTTTCAATAGGTACATTTTTGTTCCTAACAAGTCCTCAAAGGTACATATTAATACATAAAAAGTACAAATGTGTACCACATAGTACCTTAAAGGTCCAAAAGCGAAACGTTAAGCTCAAAAAGTGAAACTTAAAGGTACAAAAGTGTACCCTAAAGGTAGTAATGTCTACCTGTATGGTACAAAATTATACCTGTGTGCTGTGACAGATTTGGTAAGATTATTTCTGAGAGTGTAACGTACATACAAAGTTAAAGCAAATGCGCAAACAGCGACAAATTATCGTTGATCACTGTAATTGCTGCATCATTTGCACCGTAATCGCTGAATTCACATCAATAATGTCACACAAGTTCAAATAAATGAACTCAAGCAAAAAAAATTGCATGAGGGAAAGTAAACTACATCAAATTATGTGGTGCTCCTCAAACGTAGTATCTGCTTGTTAAGTGTGACGTCACGCGAAGCAGCTTCTGGGTCCAAACGCTGTATCAAACTGTATGGGGAGACTCAACAAATGGTAATAATAAATGTTTACACAGTGCTGTAATACTTTTGAAAATCCTGATCGCAATATATATACACAGGGTGGGCCATTTATATGGAGGAAACCCATGCGGACACAGGGAGAATATGCAAACTCCAACTGACCTAGCCAAGGCTCGAACCAGCGACCTTCTTGCTGTGAGGCAACAGCACTACCCACTGCGCCACCGTGTCACCCCTAGTGATCCAATCAATAGCTACTGTTGCTTTGACAGTCAAAAAACATATACAGGCTAAACTAAATAATTGCTTACAGCTCTTGACAGCGTAGGACTCCAGACTGTCGTGACTCTAAAATGCAATCAGAACTGTTTGCCGAGGCTGTGGATTAAAGGTAAATGGAAATTCAATACTAGCCATATACAGGGTGGGCCATTTATTTGGATACACCTTAATAAAATGGGAATTTCTGGTTTATTATGTCATAATTTGCTGGTATTTTGGAACGGATGTGTGAATGGTCTTTTCCATGAAAATTCCTTACTGTCCTTTGCTGTGTGAACAGTGCTTTTTTAAGTTTACGGGTAAAGTTGTTCCGAAAATTTTCAAGATATTTGCTGGAATCATTGTGTGAAAGGGGCTCTTGAGAACCTTGTCTCTGTTCAAAGCAAAAACAATTACAATTTTTAAAATTTGCTTAACTAAAAATCCTGGTTTCCACGCAATCACTTCATCGTGTCTCAATGCAAATCCATCAAGTTTACTTCATGTTTTCTTTTCTTTCTTTTTTTTTTGTTGTTGATTGAACATAACACAATTAAGTTGTCCCTTAAAAACTCAAAAATTTTGTTGTTTCAACTCATTTTAAATAAATAGTTTAAACAAGCAGTAAAAATATTGTTTTGAGTGTGGGTTAGGCATGGGCCGGTATAAGATTCTGACGGTATGATAACCTTGGACAAAAATTTTTTTCACAGTGTCACTGTATTGTGATTACTGCTCTAATATATATATATATATATATATATATTATTTGAAAATGTCTGGGTAAAAAACAAAAAAATATTTAAAATATTTTGGAACCCCAAATTTGTCAGGCTGAATAATGGAAATGAATCATTGACTTCTGCTGCCTAATTCTACACAGAATTCTTTACAATTTTAAAATAGCATCTATTTATATCTTTTCTGCTGGAGATACTGTTGTTCTAAAAACAAAACAAAAAATAAATAAATAAAAAATAATCTTTCACATACCTTAGGAATGGTATTACTGAATTTTTTGCCGATTTTAAAACCTTCACTTTTTCAAACCGCGATATACCTTGAGAATGGTTATCGTCCCATGCCTAGTGTGGGTGTTTACTTTTGGGTCCACAATTGGTCACACTTTATTTTGATGGTCCGTTTGTTGAATTTAAGTTACATTGCATCTACACGTCAACTAATTCTTATTAGATTATAAGTAGACTGTTAGGTTGGGGTTAGGGTTAGTGTAAGTTGACATATAATTGCAAAGTTTCTTATAGTCAGTTAAATGTCTGTTGAAGGAGCAGTATCAACAGATATTAAGCAGACAGTCCACTAATACTCAAATGGACCATCAAAATAAAGTGTTACCCTGCAATCTTCCATGCGTTTTCAAAACGTGTGTTCAGATTAGGGGCTTAAAACAGGGCAGAAAATAGACCATTACTTCTAAATTATGATGCTTTTGGATGTGTCTTAAAAACATTATGCTAGAGAACAGTACAAAATATTAAAAAAAAAAAGGTAGATAGCAGGTGCTACAAACACAGATATTTTCATATAAACTGTAAAAAAATAAATCTAACTTGTGTGCCTTGCCCTTTGAATGGAAGTGAAATGGGGATAGCTGGACGTGATGGGTTTGTAAAGCGTGACGACTGGACAGAAGAGGAAGGAGAGAAGGAGTGCGCGGTGTGGGTACGGCCTGTGTAGTGTTGCCAAAAGCAAACAAACCGCAGTCCACTGATAGCTCAGTACAAAGGAGCCAGAAAAGAGCAGACCTACTGACTCAAGTCTGTCTCTCTTTCTCTCTCTCTCTCTCTCTCTCGCTTCCTCTCTGTCTCTTTTCTCTCTTAACTTGCCAGCTGGACTGGACTTGACAAACGATACATGCCAAATGCTGATTAGGCAGGTCCGTCATACAGATCAATCTTTCTCTTTGTTGTATAAAGAATGTGTTGCGTGTGTTTTGTGTTTGTGTGTGTGTCTCAGCATTTGCTATTAAATAAGGGAGTTTGGTGAAACATAACTGAGTTTATTGAAAAGCATAAGCATATAATCAGTTGAATTAATAATAAATCCACTTTTTGATTTTTTTTATTGCCATTTAAAATTATATGCAATATAAATATTTCATCATTATATATTATTATTATTATTATTATTGTTAATATTATTATTATTATTATTATTATTATTATTAATGTTGTTGTTGTTAATATTATTAGCATTATTATTTTATTATTATTATTATTATTATTATTATTGTTGTTATTACTAATGTTACTTTTATTATTATCATCATTATTTTATTATTAATATTATCATCATTATTAATATTATTATTAGAAGTATTATTATTATTATCATTATTATTATTATTGCTATTGCTATTATTATCATCATCATTTTATTATTATTATATTATTATTGTTGTTAATATTATTATTAATAATATCATCGTCATCATCATTATTATTATTATTACTATTATTTGGTGATAGCTAGCTCTCTGCAACTCTCACATGTTGTGTAGTGTAGTTATTATTATTATTATTATTATTATTATTATTTTTATTATTATTATTATCAATTATTATTATTTTTTTTTATTATTATTATTATTATTATCATTATTTTTTTATTATTATTAGGTGGTAACTAGCTCTCTGGAACACAATATTATCATTATTTTTTGTCATTATTATCAATATTATTATTATTATTAATTTTATCATTATCATTATTATCATTATTATTATTATTATTATTATTATTATTATTATTATTATCTTTATTTTTTATTAATATTTATTAATTATCAATTAATTAATTTATTAATTTATGATTTTATTTTATTAAAAAATATATTGTTAAGTATTCCATATTTTTGCATTAAATAGCATTGATGCATTTAAATATTTATTCATATTTAAATTTACTAATTAATTATGAATTTTTCATTAAAAATGACTGACTAGACGTATAGCTTTTTAATGTTTTATGTATATATATATTCCATCTATTTATTTTGTATTAGAGCCTTCCTATTTTGTGCATAAATCAAAAAGCCACAAAATCCCAATTCTTCATAAATAGAACCATATTATCAGAGCTATATCTAAATCATAAATATTTAATTGTGTTCTGATTGCATTTCACTATGTATGTTTATGTATATGTAGTTTTATGGAGTAATGGTTAATCTCATATATTGTGCATAAAATGATCATCAAATCTTACCGACAAGGTCAAAAAAAGTCAAAATTCCAATTTTAATTTTATCAAACTACATCCTATATTTACATAATTGTATCTGAATTATGCATATTTAATTTATTGCATTTTTCTTTTACAATATTTGAATTCATACATAGGGAAGTAGCCATGTTTGTGTGTGTGTGTTTGAAGTCTGTCTTTACGTGCAGATTGTAACTGGTAGGGATGCCCTCCAGGAGCGAGCCTTCACTTTGAATCCCACTTCAAACGCAGACGATAAAACAGACGAGTGCAGATAGAAGGCAGACAAACCTTTTTTATTTTAATTAGAAAAGAAGCAATTAGACCTGCGCTTCCCCTCACTGCCGCATCACAGATTTTGACGGATACCACACTGCTCTTGTTGAGATGAATAAAGCTTTATGTATGAATTGGAAGAGTCAGCTCCATTAAACCTCAGCGGGCCATATTAAAGCTATAACTTCAAAGGAGAAAAGACGCTTCTAACCAAAATGGTTGTAGTTAAGTCAAACTTGGCTACATTTGTACTCAGATTAATGCAATAAGTGCACTGCAAACATACCATAGTTTACTGTACTATCGATTCTTTCCAAATCATTACAGCACCCTTTATCTACTCCTGACTTAATGTTCGATGTGTTTCTTTCCGTAGGGGGCAACAAGCTGAAAAACCAACAGTTCCGGCTAAACTGGGCTTGGATCTCCCTGGAGAAAGAGTACTATCAAGTGGATGAGGAAAGCAAGTTTCTGGAGGTGCTTTTGAGACGTAGAGGTTACCTTGGCGAGACCTCATTTGTCAGTAAGTGATGTTAAGAGAACATTTAATTTCCTGTCATGGACTACTGATAAGATTTAATGAAGAGTGTCTCTCTCTGTTGGCGTTAAGTAACTGTGACTTATAATTTGCTGATAGGAGTCTCTTTAGAACATCACTGTTTTGGGGCTCTTTGAACCCTTATTGATGTTGCTCATCATGTCATCAGATTTGGGTACTTGATTTGCATCATAGCTGTGCTTCCACCCACATCCTCATTGATAATGCTTGTTTTTCTGACTTGGTTTTAAGATCAACCACCCACATATCTCATTTCATGTCCCCAAGGAGAAAAGTTGAGTTTCCAGTATCAGCAGAAATTAAAATGTTCAATCTTCTAGAGGCTGGATCTGGAAGCTTGTAGGGGAAAAGGTCAGGGGTCAGCTGTTTAGCTGTGGATGTTAGCATATTCAAATTTAATTACTACTTAATTAGTGGGAAGAGGTGTTTTGATTTTATTTATTTATTTATTTATTGCTTGTTTGTTTGTTAGTTTGTTCCTTCATTTATTTATTTATTCATATGCTTGTTTAATTTATATTTTTATTTATTTATATGTTTATTTATTTATTTTTTATATATTTATATATTCGTATTAGTTTTTATTTATTTCTATTTTTATTTATTTATTTATACTTTTATTTATTTGCTTATTTATTTCTATTTCTATTTATTTATATATAATTGTATTAATTAGTTTATTTGTTTCTATTTCTATTTTATTTATTAAAATAAATAAAATATTATTATTTTATTTATTTATTTATTTATATATTTTTTTTCATTTGTTTCTTTTTTATTTATTTAGTTAGTTATTCATTCATTCATTCATTTAGTTGATAAATAAATCAGTTCATATTAATGTTCTGGTGATCTTGTTGGAGTTTATTTTTTTATTTTTTCATGGGCTGACTGTACATTCACATTGTTTAAAGATTTGAAGTCAGTAAGATTTATTTAATTAATTAATATTCATATTCATAAAAGATTCTTTAAGTTGATTTTAAAACATGTCAGTAAATAATTTTAGATAAATACTATTCTAATTAATTAATAGATTTAAATATTACATATATTTAAAAGAACATAGGTATTCTAGATTGTTTAGTTTTGTAGACTTATTTTAAAACATTTTTAGTTATTTTTATATTGTCTGTGATGTGTTTCATAATGTATTAGTCTAAGCCTAGAGAGTTTTTAGATTTTAAAAACACCACCAAAAGTTGCCCAGCAAGCATTGTTGTGTATTTAAAGTTTTTGTCTTGTTTGTAGTCCAGATATCTAAAAGAAATGTGTAATTTCAAATTAAATTCGTAAATCAAGAGGAATCAAGAAGATAATTCAAGAGTTCACATTTAGCTGATGATTGATAAGTAAGAACGAGTTTGGCATGCTGTCCTGTCCCTGTGCTCCGGGGATCCTCGAACCTGGGGCTCCCTCTTGTTTAATCAGGTGAGAGGGGAGTCTGAGCTCAGGTAGGTCTTGAGAGCTCCCTCCTATTTAATTAAGAAAGAGGGGATGAAATAGGGGTGAATTGGGAGATTCTTCTAGACGAAAATGTCTAAGGTAAGGAAATCTGGCTATTTACACGTATTCAAATTCATCTGATTGGTGTATCACCTGACTGCTAATGCAGGAGCTGCTGTGGTCAATCATAAGCACGAAAATCTCGAAATTAGTTTATATATAAACTTAGCATAAAATATATGGTGTTGGTTTAAGAATTAATGTGTCAAAATTTAGCAAAATAATCTGCCAGTGAAATAAGCAAAATAATATTATGTCAAAATGAAACATCTGATTATTTTGCTTACATCATTGTCAGATTTTTTTTTTTTTTAAGGAAAAATTACTTCATTCATTCATTCAGTTATTCTTTTTATTTTTGTCTTAGTCCCTTTATTAATCTGGGGTCGCCACAACGAAATGAACTACCAACTTATCCAGCACTTTTTTACGCAGTGGATCCCCTTCCAGCCGCAACCCATCCCTGGGAAACATCCATACACACTTATTCACACATTCATACACTACGGATAATTTTTATCATACCCAATTCACCTGTACCGCATGTCGTTAGACTGTGAGGGAAACCGGAGCACCCAGAGAAAACGCACGCGAACGCAGGGAGAACATGCAAACTCCACACAGAAACAGTCATGAGTGAGGTTTGATCTAACCTTCTCTGTTGTTCACTATAGCTGTTTCCCCTTACAATCACCGCTGGCGCGCATGCATTACTCACCTGTTTCTATTTGATCCAATCACCTCTCTGCTTGTACCTGCCTTGTCCTGTTACACTTTGTCAGATTATTATGTTCATTAAAGCCTACGGACATTCTCTCTCTAAAGAAAACAAGACTTTTATTCCAGGCTAGTCTAGTTTAGTTCCCTGATTTATTATTTAACTTTATTTTGCTTACTTGTGATCTGCGCAGTCTTCTTGCTGATAATACCCAGCTCCTCACCTGCGCTCGCCAGCTACAGCCCTCGCTCCACTCCAAGAGAGCTGATGTGGATTTTCTGTTATCCTTCAACCAGTCTGCGTTCTCCCACGGGTGGTCGAGGAACGGCAGCTGCCTTTGTTCATCCTCTTTCTAAATAAACTTTTTATTTGAACTGCAACCTCTCTGTTTTCTGTCCGAGCTTGACAGAAACGCCAACTGACCCAGCTGAGCCTCGAACCAGCGACCTTCTTGCTGTGAGACGACAGCACTCCCTAATGCGCTACTGCGTCACTAAAACTGACTTCATTTTGGCATATTATTTCATAAAGCATATTATTTCTATTTCTTGCTTGTCTACAAAAACATTTTGATTTAAGAATTTTTAGATATTTGGATTAGAAGCAAGGCAAAAAATCTAAGCAAGAAAACCGTTTTTTTTTGTGAAAGAAGTCCAATAGATATCGAATAGACATCTAAAACAAGGCTAAATTTGGGCTGTTAGTGAAAATCTAATAAAACTATTAAATAAAATAATAAATCGAATAAATGCTAACAATTGTTGGTCATTCATTTCAAAACTAAAGTAATTTTGGGTTATTCTTAGACGTCTATTACTGACAGCACAAATATAACTGTGTTAACACGTCTATTTGATGACTATTTATTACAAAGTTTGTTGATCGGTCAATTTTAAAATGTGGATTTTACTCTAATGGACAATTCTGGATTCTGGAATAAATCTGAAATCATTGTTTTAATCTACATCAGTTGTTGTAGCCGACTAATAAACCATGGCACTAAGGTCATGGCTTTGACCTGTTCAGGCATGAAGAGTTTAAGCATTCCCAAGAGGGGGAGTTTTCCATTTTCATGAGCTACAAACTGTAAAATCTAGAGCTTGCCCTCTGCATGGGCTTTTGCAGGATCACACTGAAAGACCTTCACAAGTTCTCATGAAAGAGATGAATATTCCATCCACACGCTGAGCTTGACCACCATTCCTCAACTCACCTCAGTTCCGGTCCAGAGCTCCACCGAAAAGACTAGCTGCTGTCCTGCTGTTCGTCTGCCACGTGCTGGGCCTGGATCACAAACCGTCTTGTACTGAAGTGGGGAGATGAAGAAGTCTTTGAAATTATGATTTATTTTCAATTATTATTGAGATTTTTCTCTCTATCTTAAGTTTATTATAATCGACTGATACCCTACTGAATAATTGCATTTTATGCAGGCATTTTTTGCAAACAGAACCCCTACTTTTTTGTGATATACACCTTAATTTCAAAGCACTTTTTTTTTTCAAATATGCTTCAAAGATTTAGATGCCACAGGGGGAAAAAACCCATGGCATCCACATTTTTCTTCCTTAAGCTCATAAATATGTTTCTCTAGTAACTGTCTCAATCAGGCCTTTCCGCTTTCAATTTACATTTCTTCTGCAAGGAAACCTTGTATCTCTATCAATGCAAATGAAAATGCCTTTATCTATTCTACTCTACCTGACAAAAGTCGATCCCAGTTGAAAGAGCAACAAATAATAACTCTTCTTCTAGTTGATCATTTGAAAAAGTGGCAGAAGGTCGATTTGTCAGATGAATCATCTGTTGAGCTGCATCCCAATCATCAAAAATACTGCAGAAGACATATTGAAACCCGCATGGACCCAAGATTTTCATAGAAAGCAGTCAAGTTTGGTGAAGAGAAATCATGGTTTGGGGTTACATTCAGTATGGGGGCATGCATAAGATCTGCAGAGTGGATGACAACATCAAAAGCCTGAGGTGTCAAGACATTTGTGCTGCCTATTACATTACAAACCACAGGAGAGGGCAAAGTATTCAGCAGGATAATGCTCCGTCTCATACTTCAGCCTCCATATCAAAGTTCCTGAGAGCAAAGAAGTCCAAGGTTCTCCAGGATTGAACAGCCCAGTCCCCAGACATTTCGGTAAAATGAGTATAATCTAGAGGCCTTTTCCTTTCATATAAGCCCTTTCTGATACCAAATGATCAACTAGAAATCAAGTTATTATTTGTTGTTTCTAAAACTTGCATAGGCGGCAAAGACTTTTGACAGATAGTGTATATACGGTTGAAGTCATAATTATTAGCCTTCCTGTAAATTTTCTTTTTCAAAGATTTCCCAAACAAAGTTTAACAGAGCAAAGAATTCTTCACAGTATTTCTGATAATATTTTTTTTCTTCTGGAGAAAGTCTGATTTGTTTTATTTCTGCTAGAATAAAAGCAGTTTTTAATTTTCTTAACCATTTTAGGGTCAATATTATTAAGCTGTATTTTTTTCACTTGTCTACAGAAATGTTCAGTCCACTAAACAGAAACTGGTGGAAAAATATACAGGGGGGCTAAAAATTCAGGAGGTTTCATAATTCTAACTTAAACTGTAGTAGATTCGAAAACAGTGTGAATTGTGTAGTATGTATTAAATTCATATCATTGCTGAAACAATAGACAAAACATATTTGGATAAACTATAACTGCATCTGCTTTTTTACAGTGTTGTGGCACAATGGGCTTTTGAAATGATATATACACTGAAAAAAAATGTTGCAAACAATTTATATGTGTTGAATTTAAACATATTAAATTTAGTAATGTTCAACTTAATTTGTTTGTTTAATTTCAGCCCAAATAATTTGTTTACAACCACTTAACTAAAAAGATTAGTAAACCCAAGAAAACGTCTTTAAAAAATTTTTTTCAGTGTATTTATATGAATTAGCCACATTTCAGACAATATGTAAAATAGTTTTGTTTCGTCATGAGATGGAGTTAAAATTTGTCAATAGAGTGTTTAGTTGTTTTTAAAAATATACAGTTTGAAGTCAGAATTATTAGCCCTCCTGAATTATTAGCTCTCCTGTACGCATATTTCTGTTGGATTTTTCAACACATTTTTCAACATAATAGTTTTAACAATTATTAATATATAATTTCTTTTATCTTTGCCATGATGACAGTAAATAATATTTTACTAGATATTGCTCAAGAGGGCTAAAATATAGATTTTTTTTGTTTGTTTTTAAAATAAAAACTGTTTTATTCTAGCCAAAATAAAACAAATAAGAATTTCTCCAGAACAAAAAATATATTATCAGACATACTGTGAACATTTCCTTACTCTGTTAAACATAATTTGAGAAATATTACCAAAAACAAAATTTACAAAAGGGCTATTAATTTTGACTTCAGCTGTACAGTATGTCTATTAGGATCAAGGGAAGACCAAGCCAGCCTCTATCCGATTCCTGGGGATCTGCCATTGGTTGTGGAAAGTCCAAATTAAACCAAAACAAATTATGACAATTGGCTAAGACTGACGATGAAAATTCGGAAAGGTTTTTTTGCGGAAAACCAAAAAAAGGTATTTTCCTAATTTTTTAAAGTAGAAGGTTCAACCCACTATAGTCAAGGTTTCTTTTAGACAACTGCTTTCCGAGTTTTATTATTATTTCATATTTTATTAGTGACCTTTGAGGCTTCTGTGGTGTTGCCCGCTAGCTGACAATGCCAAGGTTGCCATGAAGCTGCTGGCACTGTAAAAAGCCATGTTAACCCAAGTGGACAGAGATCATCCTGGACTGACAGGCTAGGATGAGCATCTGATCTTCTAAGGGGTTGGGAAAGACTAACCTTCAGAAACTTCACTTTATTCTCATCTTAAAGAATGACACTCGGCTCTCTTTGAAGCTTTTGTTACTGAATGGTTGCGTCACGCGTGCTGCAGAATCACTACATTGACTGTTAACAAAGCTCTGCTGTGATTTATAGAAACGCGGACGAGGTGATATAAACAGCAGATCCGGTCAGTCCCTTGACAGAGATGTTCACTTCACTTCAGGCAGTTTGTTGAAATGACACCGGCAATGTTTTTGAATCTCTGGATCATATTATGTGCTGTAAACTCTGCAACAAAACAAATTTATCTAAAAGGTTTATTTATTTTATTTTATTTTTGTTTGGTTGTTTTGTTCTGGTAATAATATACGATTAAAATGCTTAAAATAATCATCTATTTTAATTATTCAGTTTGTCAGTTTTTATCTAGGGAAATTTTGTTTATTTGCAAAACAAAATACTTTTGTGTTTACTTTTTTAACTCTACCCCAAATAAACTCTTCCCTTCCTCAACAGCCTCTAACTTCCCATTAAAAAATGTAATAAACATAAGTACAAAAAATAAAAAATAATAAAGATAAATAAATAAGGGTGACACAGTGGCACAGTAGGTAGTGCTGTCACCTCACAGCAAGAAGGTCGCTGGTTCGAGCCTCAGCTGGGTCAGTTAATGTTTCTGTGTGGAGGTGCTCCAGTTTCCCCCACAGTCCAAAGACATGCGGTACAGGCGAATTGGGTAGGCAAAATTCTCCATAGTGTAAGAGTGTGATTGAGTGTGTATGGATGTTTCCCAGAGATGGGTTGTAGCTGGAAGGGCATCCGCTGCGTAAAACAAATGCTGGATAAGTTGGCGGTTCATTCTGCTGTGGCGACCCCGGATTAATAAAGAGACTAAGCCAAAAAGAAAATAAATGAAATGATAAATAGATAAAAAGTAAAAAAAATAAAAAATAAATAAAAAAACAATAATAAATATTTATTCATATATTATTGCTCAGCTTTGATCAATATGAATAAGATAATAATTATTACAGCTCAAGACAATTAGCCAGCAGATAATCTAAAAAGAGACTTGTCAAACGGCTATAACCAGTGATTGTCAAATTTTTTTCAGTTTAATTATATATATATATATATATATATATAGACACATTTCTAAAATTATTATTATAATTCTAAAATGATATGAATGTTAGCTTGAAAGTTAAAATATTTTTTAAATTGTTTGTTTTGCCTTTTATATAATTTCATTTATTGTGAATCTGTACAAAGTCATTCTTTAAGGCTTAACTAGGTTAAATAAGCAAATTAGAGTAATTAGGCAAATCATTGTACAACGATTGTTCTGTGGACAATCTGAAAATATATATCTTAAGAAGAATAATAATAATTTTGATCGTAAAATGTTTTTTTTTTTATTAAAACCGTTTTTTTCTCTAGCCGAAATAAAACAAATCAAAATCAAGTTAAATTAATAAATAAATAAACAAATAATGATAATAAAGAAAGAAAGAAAAAGAATAATAATGCATTCATATATTATTGCTCAGCTTAAGAATCAAGAGAGTTAGCCAGCGGATAATCTAAAAAGGGGTGCCAGAACTTGTCAAAGGTCTTTAATCAGTAAGTGATAGTCTAATTTTTTTCAATTTAATAACATATAGACACATTTCTAAATTAATGGTTATAGTTCTAATATGGTATCAATTTTAGCTCAAATTTTTTATATATATGATAAAATATGGGCGATGTAGTGGCAGCAAGAAGGTCGCTGGGTCGCTGGTTCGATCCTCAGCTCAGTTGGCGTTTCTGTGTGGAGTTTGCATGTTCTCCCTCCGTTCGCGTGGGTTTCCTTCGGGTGCTCCGGTTTCCCCCACAGTCCAAAGATATGCGGTACAGGTGAATTGGGTAGTCTAAATTGTCCATAGTTTATAAGTGTGTGGATGTTTCCCAGAGATGGGTTGCGGCTGGAAGGGCATCCAATGTGTAAAAATGAGCTGGATAAGTTGGCGGTTCATTCCGCTGTGGTGACCTCGGATTAATAATGGGACTAAGCTGACAAGAAAATTAATAAATGAATGATAAAATATTATATTATAATTTAATAATATTTTTAACATTTTATATATTTTAATTTATTGTGATAAATATTCTGTACAAAGACATTCTTACCTTAAAAAAACAAGATTTTTTTCTTATTTAAAAAAATATATATTATTATTTATTATAATAATAATAATAATAATAATAATATTAATTATTATTATTATTATTATTATTATTATTATTATTATTATTATTAGCAATAATGTATTTCTAACAACATCATGTTAAATTGCTAAAAAATAAAGCTATATTCCCTTTAGCCAGCATCTCGGCTAGAAAATAGTATCCTTAAAGGCTTTTTTACTTTTTCATTCTAAAGGTATTGGGACCAAAGATGGCACAGCGGAAAAGGACAAAGATTTCCGAGGCAAGGCCCAGAAACAGGTTCAGTTTAACCCAGGTCAGACCACCGCTAGCTGGAAGGTGCGGATCATGTCAGACAGTCTGTATGAGCAGTCAGAGATCTTCCAGATCGTCCTGTCAGAGCCCGTCATGGCAGCGCTCGAGTTCCCAGAGGCGGCGGCAGTGGAGATCACTGACCCTGAAGATGGTGAGATCACACACACACACAACTAAACATGGGTTCCAGGTGTGCTTTTGTCGAGTGCAGTTAAAAATGTACATACATAAAAAACAGTGGCATTTTTTTTACCACATTTTTACCACATATTTTACCACATATTTTCTCTTCTGGAGAAAGTCTTATTTGTTTTATTTCGGCTAGAATAAAAGCAGTTTTAATTTTTTTAAACACCATTTTAACCTAATCAACCTAGTTAAGCCTAAGCTGTACTATAAGCTCTATAGAATATAAGCTGTATAGAAGTGTCTTGAAAAATATCTAGTCAAATATTATTTACTGTCATCATGGCAAAGATAAAATAAATCAGTTATTTGAAATGAGTTATTAAAACTATAATGATTAAAAATCTGTTGAAAAAATCTCTCCATTAAACAAAAATTAGGGAAAAAATAAACGAATAATTCAGGGGTGTTACATTTTTTTTTACCCCAACTGTATTATAGGTTGTCTATATATACGAGTGTGTAGTTAAAATGTATGTGTATCAACTATATTTAAATTACATTTAAATTTATAAATTGTAGAGTATTTTATATAGTTTAGGTTTTTAGATGTGTGCTTTTGTCATAGTTTTTGTCCTTTTAAGTACTTTTTGTTATTCTTGTTTACATATGTCTGTATAGTTTTAATTAACTTTTAGCTTTAATTAATTTATTAATTTTATTGTTACATTTTCTGATTTGGTTTTAGTTTTGGTAGTTTTTTTTCTTTCTTTATTATATATCTGTGAATAGTTGCAATGAAATTCAAATGATTTTACTTATACATTTTGTTTAGTTATATTTAGATTTTTTTCCAAAAAAAGTTAAATTAGTCATTTAAAATGACTTTATACAGTTGAAGTCAGAATTATTAGCCCCTCTGTTTATTTTTTTTCCCGAATTTCTATTTAACAGAGGTAAGATTTTTTCAACACATTTCTGAACATAATAGTTTTCAGAACTCATTTCAAATAACTGATTTATTTTATCTTTGCCATGAAAACAGTAAATAATATTTTACTAGATATTTTTCAAGACACTATAACATAAAGTGACATTTAAAGGCTTTACTAGGTTAAATAAGTTAACTATGCGAGTTAGTGTAATTAGGCAAGTTATTGTATAATGATGGCTTGTTCTGTAGACTATCAAAAAAATATATATAGCTTAAAGGGGCTAATAATATCGACCTTAAAATGGTGTTTAAAAAATTAAAAACTGCTTTTATTCTAGCCGAAATAAAACAAATAAGACTTTCTCCAGAAGAAAAAATATTATCAGACATACTGTGAAAATTTGCTCTTGCTCTGTTAAACATCATTTGGGATATATTAAAAAAAGAAGACAATTCAAAGAGGGCTACTTTATTGGTCACACTTTACAATAAGGTTTATTAGTTAATGTTAATTAAAGCATTCACTAACATGAACAAACTATGAACAATACATTTACTACAGTATTTATTGTTGTTAGTAAATGTTAGTTAATGAAAATACAGTTGTTCATTGTTAGTTCATCTTAATACACGGTGCACTAACTAATGTTAACAAGCATGGATGTGGATGTTAATAATGCATTAGTAAATGTTCAATGATGGTTAAATAATGCTGTACTAATGTTGTTCATGATTAGTTCATGTCAGTAAATTCATTAACTAATGAACCTTATTGTAAAGTGTTACCACTTTATTTAATATAACTAAGCAAACATGAGCTAACATAACAGCAGCTCTATTTTAACATCAACAATCAGGCTGGATGTCAGTGCGGGTGAACATGTCCGCTTTCTGTACATTATAATCATAGCATAAGATCTGCAGAACATCCTGGAGCCTGCAGATGAAAACACAGAGCCGCGTCTGTGATGTGGAGTCAGGATCTACGGCTGGTTTAGCAGGAGCTGCGCCTTTGTTCTCTTATCTGACTCAATGAGTTTCTCCACACATTTTACACAGCTTTGCGTAAAGATGTTGAATCTCACACCTGATGGCCCTGAAATCTCTTTCTTAAAAGCTGTGCTGCTTTTTTCCTCTTCCAGAAATGCTTAAAAGAAAATGCAACGTTGTTCTCTTTTTTCCCCTAGACATACTTTATATTCACAGCAAAATCCTCCTAGTAAAATTGACTCAGTTTAGATAGTATTTGGTCCCTTTCTAAATTGAGTTAAAGTTATTCAATTTAATGAGTCAATGAAATGATTAATTAAGTGATGAATGAGCACTGATGATGAGCACCTGCTGTTAATAAGCAAAAACACAGAGAAGAAACACAAAACTGCAACTGACTTCAGTCACCGCCTTAGAAGAAATCAGTTGAATTATAATACATTGAATCTCTCAAAATCTCAGCAGAGGATCGTTAAGCACTGCACAAACAGCAGCTTTACTTTTGTAAAATGCCCTTATTTAAAGAGAGACAAAATACTCTCTGAACTAAGTAAATTTTACTCTGAGGACTTTGCTGTGTTGTTACCATTGGTTGGCAGCATGGAAAAGTAAAGGTTTTATTATTTCAACATTTACAATAATTATTAACTTATTTACAATAATAATAATGATAATATAGATAACAACAAAGCAACATTTATAATAATAACAATAATAATACTAATAGCAAAAACAACAACAATAATCATATTGAGGTTACGTTATTGTAAAATGAAATAATAATTGTGTTTTTTTAAAGAAAGTTTTTTTTTTTTTTTTTTGTAAATCTGTAGTTTTAGTTGAATATTTTAGTTTGTTTTAGGTGACACTAGGCATACATCAAAAAAGCTCAAAATCATGTAAACATTATCTAATAACTGCCAGGTTTTTTTTAATAATATACACTCAATGGCCACTTTATTAGGTATACCCATCCCACAGTTTGTTAACGCAAATTTCTAATTAGCCAATTACAAGACAACAACTGAATGCATTTAGGCATGTAGACATGGTCAAAACAATCTGCTGCAGTTCAAACCGAGCATCAGAAAGGGGAAGAAAGGTTATTTAAGTGACTTTAAATATGGCATGGTTGTTGGTGTCAGACGGGCTGGTCTGAGTATTTCAGAAACTACTGATCTATTGGGATTTTCACGCACAACCACCTCTAGGGTTTAGAGAATGATCTGAAAAAGAGAAAATATCCAGTAAGTGGCAGTTCTGTGGGCGCAAATGCCTTGTTGATGCCAGAGGTCAGAGGAGAATGGCCAGACTGGTTCGAGCTGATAGAAAGGCAACAGCAGCTCAAATAAGCACTCGTTAGGGCCGAGATCTGCAGAAGAGAATCTCTGAATGCACAACACGTCCAACCTTGAGGCGAATGGGCTACAGCAGCAGAAGATGTTACAGCAGTGATGTTAACATGTCAATGTGGACCAAAATCTCTGAGGAATATTTCCAGTACCTTGATGAATCTATGTCATTAAGGATTAAGGCAGTTCTATATGCAAAAAGGAGTCCAACTTCCTAATAAAGTGGCCGGTGAGTGTATTTTTTTTATGGACATGAACTAACGTTAACTAACTATATATTGTAAACATGATCAGTGAAAAGTAAATAAACCCATTAAAGCAATCTGTTGAGTTTTCCTAAAAAGAAAAGGGAGTAAACCCATTGCCTTTAAATGATTAAGTAAATGACAAGTAAACATGCTATGTGCATAAATAAAATAATCAAGTCACAATGAGTGTACAATTTTTTTAATAAAGTAACTAATAGCTTTTAAACACTAACAAAGGTTAATAGAAATTGTAGCAAATGTACTATATTGCTGTTAGTTAATGCATAAAGTGTTTTATTTAAGGCGAGCTATGTTATCATGGATGAATATACATATCAGCTTTCCTCCAGCAGAGCTCATTTTCAACCACACTCGTTAGAGATCAAGATTTCAATCTTCTCAGATCTTCTCATCTGTGTTTCAGTCTTCAGGATAACATTACATAGATTAGTTGAGCTGAAGTGGAGAGATCGATATAGCACAAACTCGGTGGCCTCATGTGGCATTTATCAGTTACACAGATAAGCCTGTGTTATTCCTTTGCAGCAGGACATAAAAACAATTTAATGCCACGGCCTGAAAGGTTAAATCTCACTTAATTATCTTCTGCCTCCAAGTGCAACAAAAGCTTGAAACAAAGCATATAATTGAGCCTTTTTCTGAAACAAAACCCACTTAGTTGTGTGTCCACAGAGATCTGTTGGGCCATATATCGTCCACATTCTCTCTGAAAGTCAGGCCTTATACGGATTAAAGGGATTAATTGTTTGAAATGGAGACTATGAAGTTGGCAAACGTTTTGAACTCACACGAATTAATAGCATCCTTACTAATCGGTTTTAAGTTCATTGTCAAACAGTTTTTGTCTTATTTTTAGTTTTCAAAGGTAAAAACGAGATGATAATTAAATGACGACAAGCTACGAGTGACTAAATCTCTAACAATAATCCATTGACATTTTCATCAAGGACTAAAACTAAAAGAAAATGTCTGGGATTGTTATTTGGGAAGAAATCTTGTTAAATATAATCTCCTGAATGGCAGGGAGGTTTAGATTCACAGATTTAACCCTTTTACTTTGTTGGATTGTTAAATATTTTGAATGCTGACATACAGCCATGCTTTTTCACTACATTACATTCTCAGAAATAATTGTACAAAAGCTGTCACTGGGCTGGTACTAAGGCTGGGCGAGTTGGCCTAAAATCTAAATCTTGATTGTTTTAACCTTTTAACTCAATTATGATTAATGAACGCTTTTTTATTGACCCATGGAGCTTGTTTTTTTGTGTAGCCATGCATATATGCTTTAGCGTGCTGTTTGTGTTGGTCTGCAATAACACTTCCGAAACACTAGCTGGCAGTAGGTTTTTTAAATAATCGGAATAAAATCGGCCTGGGAGAATTAGATCGATTATAGATTCTAAATTTTGATTAATCACCCAGCACTAGCCGGTACCCTTTCAAAAGGTACATTTGGGTGCTTTTTAATAAGTTATAT